AGATTTCTTGGAATGTCATTCACAGTACGTGCATTGTGTCGGACTACGCCGCTGGCTCGTAACGCGTAGCCTTTAATGACAGGCTTGGGTGATGATATTGTACTTTATGCCGTACCCTGCGGCACTGGACACTTTTGTCACTGACGAGCTGTCCGCGTTACTGTTACAGTCACAAGATAACTTGCCTGTTAAGCCTGGAGCTCGAATGAACACGCTTCCATTTCGGCTCAGTTTTCCCTTGGAGTCCACGGAGCGTCCCAAGTTGAAGATGGATTTCCATTTCTTGGATTTCCCAGAAAGCTTTCTCCTGAAGATAAATAGTTGTTTTACCTGCTGGTAATTCCTTTGCGTATGGCACACATGCTGACATTTCTTGTTGTTTTTTTCCCCCCCTCAGTTGCAAGCTTTGGCCACACTTGATTGTACGCTCAGTGAAGTGTGACTTACTTGCTGTCCAAATCTATGACAGTGTGGTAGAGCGTGGCCGTGCTGGTGTCGGGCAGACTGTTCTCTCGTTGGCGTTCTTTATGCACGGGATGGTTTGGACTTAAGGAGCGAGCTTGGGCTTCTTCCAGACTCATCAGTTTCATCGGCCCGCACTGACCGCTAATCGGGAGCGTGGCGTATTTCTCCCCGCACATCAAACTTGGCCCTGTTGAAATATTACAAGTCATGTTTTCACAAATCTTTTCCGGGTCGGTTTGCCTGAGGTGAATTTCATACCGTCTTTTGCTTTGATTTGCGCCGAGTCGCTGTTGAAGATCTGCTCCGTGTGGTTTAGAATGAACTCCACCACCGACTGTTGTATTCGCACCTCCTGGAAAGCCATGTCTCCATTACCAGATGTGGCCTCTATTGTTTTGGATCTGTGAAAATAAATAATACATTCGGACGTGCAAAGGGGAAAAAGTTCCGAATCTGATTGTTCTTTATAAACCCACCTCAGTAGATTAGGAGCCCAAACCAAGGCCAGATTGCGTGTGTGCATGTTTGTCTGGGCACTCAAAGTGGCGAGGCGGGCCAAATGCTTGGTGAGGTACTCCAGAGTCCTGAAAGCAGTTGGGAAACGCTCCGTCTCTTATTTATCACAATACTAAGGCTTAAATGAAGTATGAGACGGCATTCCGTGCCGCAGTTCACCTGAAGTGAGGGGTCGGCAGTTGCTTCACAATCTTTTGGATGTGTAGAAGTCTTTCGTGATCACCACACACTGAAGCCGCTTCCTAGCATGTCAAATAAACATCATGTTTTTAATTCCACACGCTGCTTTATTTGGAATATGAACCGAATTCCAAAGTCAACTCCCTCTGAGCAGGACCCGGACACTTGCGTGAACGTCAACAAGCCTTTTGCCGGAGTGTGCGCCGCCTCAAAATGATGCGACCTAGGCCTCAACACATTTTCTGGATTTGTCGGACATTTGTGGCCAACATAAATTGTTTTTATGCGGTCTCCTATGTGTCTGGCGGTAAGTCTGGTGGCACGGTTCCAAGGGGGGGGGGGGGGGGAAGAGATAACACATGGATA